GGAGGGCCGGCCTCGTGGGGGCCAGGGACTCGAGCGCGCGGGGGCCGCCGGTGTGGGGTGGTCTTGGAGCCCTTCGGTGGAGGTGGCAGCCCGGGTGTCCGTGTATGTGTTCGTGCCCAGGCTTGTGTCCCCTGTGTGTCAGTGCCATGTGTACGCGGGGCCCAGTTCCTCGAGCACACATGTGCAACCAGCTGTCTGCAAGCCTGCCCTGTCTTATCCTATCTCTGCCTGGTTCCTGCCTAGGGGGCTGCTGGGCTGGCCACTGGCTTGTGGGACAGTCCGTGGCCACACTGGTACCTGTCACCTCTGACCCTGAGCATGCACGTCCCTTGCTGGGACTCACCTCCTGTCAGTCTCCTGTATCTGGGGATATGTGACTGCATGAGCAGAATTTTCTGTGTTCCTGGTGGCAGGTGTGTGTTTTTGCACATGTGTTCCATCACTGGCCTGGGTATCTGTGTCAATCCCAGCATGTGTGTCCAGGGCGTGTCTGGATGTGGGTGGTGTGCAAGTGGGGGGAGGGAGTAAGTGTGTGTGAGTGTGTTCTTTGGAATCTTATCATATGTGGAACACCTTTGAGTTAGCAGGTGTGAACCCTTGCTCTGTTAGGGAATGGGGACAGAAAGCCTGAAAAGGGAGAGAGTGGGGTAAAGAGGAAAAGTGAGGAGTTGGGGGAGAGGAGGAATGAGAGAGGCTTGCAGAGGAGAGAGAGCCAGGTAGAAAGCATGGCTGGAGAATGGGAATGTGAGGGATAGTCGAGTCAGATTTAGAAGAGAGAGGAGAGGATAAGAGGGCTTAAGATGGGGAACTGGATGGAAATGGTGGGAGAAGAGGCCTGGAAGCTGGGAAGGCGAGGGGAGGAGAGAGTCAGGCCTTTGGTAAAGTGATCTCTGGGAGAGGGCACGGGGTTTGTGTAGGATCAAACTTGGTTGGATCCTGGGAGGCCATCATAGAGACTGGCTCACAGTGAGGCATGTCACGGCAGGAACTGTCATTAGAGGTTCCTGTTCCCAGCACAGAGTTTTGCCCCCTATTTCTCTGCTCTCTGTTCCACTCTGTTGCTCAGCCTTCTTTGGTAACCTCCCCCCATGGCTCCCCTTGAGAGCTGTCAGCTGGGTGTTACAGGGAAGGAAAGCCAAAGGGAAGGGCAAGGGATTTGGGGAACTGGAGGGCAGGGGGAGATTCTGTGGGTGATGGCAAGATTAGAGAGGTTAGTGAGGTGGGAGTCCAAGCCCTTGCTGTGTGTGTGTGTGAGTGCAATTGTGTGTGTATACAGGGTGTGTACATGTGTGGGTGTGTGCACAATGCCTGTGTTACGGGTCTATGTAGGTGGCTGTTATGCATGTGCACGCGTGTATACATCGTGCAGGGATGGGACATGGAGACCCAGGATCGCAGTGTATGCTCATCAGGTTTGCTCTGTGTGTGGACATGGGTATGTGCTGTATTTTCGGTGCATATCACTGCATGCAGCACTAATAACAGGATATCCTATGTTTCTGTCACTCTGCCCCCTTTTCCTCTGTGTTTCTGCTATTTTTCCTCTTGTGGCAGTGAGTCTCTGTAAGCATGTGTGTATGGCCTCCGTGTACCTGTGACTTATACGTGAGTTCATGAGTCTTAGTGCCTGGTAATATGTGTAAGATTATAATACTTTTGAGAACCAAGAGAACCCATTAGCATGTCCATTCTTCTTCTGTTAATTCTTTAGTTCCAAAGCAAAAATTTAGTGGATTTGAAGTTAGACTTTATGCCTTTATTACAGGAGCTTGCCTATGAAAATAATGGCTGAGCTACATTCCATGGAATGAGAATGACAAATGCAAAGACTAGGAAGATGTCCTGAACCCTCAGATGCAATGTTGAGTGTGTAACAGAAGGCTAATTAATGCATTTGCTCCTTGTTTTTTCTTTATGCTGGTAGCAATCAGATTCCCGTGCTGGAGTCAGGGAAGGCCTGGGGGAGAAGAAGGGGTTATTCTGAGACAGTGGTTGTGGATGTACTTTTCATGTGAATGAAGGATGTTTGTGCTTTTGGGTTACAGGGATACTTTGATGTGGTCAGGATTGTGGTGTACTCAAGCATATAGCTTAGAGGTTAAAGTGGCTTCCCTGGTGTGGGGGCCTTGTGTGAGTCTCTGGGTTAAGTGTCCCTTTCTGTAATGTGCTGCCTACATGATTGCCCGAGGGACTTGAGGCCATACATCCACACCAGCAGCTCTCATGTGGGTGTCTGGGTCCAAGTATGTACCCCCCTGTTACAGTGCTCACATGTCCAAGCATGTATCCTTTGGAGTATGTGGGCCTCAGGGTCTCAGAATGTGGACCCGTGGCACCCCCACACTCACGGTTGTCTGTATGTCTCATAAGCACTTCGATCCCTCTTTATTTTTTGTATTGTGGTTCTCATATACATGTACCCCAACAGCTCAGTGTATGTTTCTGTGCTTTACACATGTGTTCCTGAGGAACTGACACAGATTCCTGTGTCATGGGATCCACATGGGCAGACCTCCTAACACCTGGGTTTTAGAGGCAAAGGGGAGCTGGGAACTGATTCTAGGGCAGTCTGCAGGCGATTTGCAATTCTGGAATCAGACAGTGAACATGTAGCTGTGGCCTTCCCTTGTTCTGGAAGCTAGAGGGTTAACAGACAGCTCTTCCGGTCCACCCCCCCCAAGCCTGTAGCTTCTTGTTGCCGTGGAGATGGTAGCCCCGCCCCTGATGCAGCACCTGCCCCCCCATTGGCTGCAGTGGTGACTGTGGGGCTGAGGGGGGAGCCCAGGCCTGGGCAGCCATTCTGGAGCTCGAACCGGAGCTTGGCATCCCCCCACTTTCATTTTCCTCTAGCCCCTCAGCCCCTCTAAATTCCCTGGCATCAGAACCAGAGCTTCCCTTCTCCCAGCTGCCACCCCTCTAGACTCGAGCAGTCCGAGCTTCAGAGCTTCATCGGCATTCACCTCCCCTCCTCCTCCTCTCCCTGCCCTCACTTGAGAGTCCCCCCAAATCCCCACTGCCCATCCTCCCCATTCCTTTCCCAGTCCCCAGCATTTTTCTCTTTTCTCCTTCCCCCTTTCCCTTCTGAGTCCCTGCCACTGCAGTGCACGTGGAACTGGCCCCTTCTCCCCTCCCCCTGCCCCTTCCTTGACTCTTCTGTCCCCAGGCTTCTTCCGCTTCCACTCCTCACATGTCCCTTCCAAGACTTACCCCTCCAGTCCAGGGAAGGGGTCATGAGAGGTAGTCCTGGCTCTCAAGACAGACAGGGGTTCCAGGAGCAGGGGACAGGTGGAAGATGTGCCCAGCTGAGGGAGGAGGAAAGCCTGCCTCTGGTCAATGACCTTTAACACAACTCCCCCTCAGCTAGCCCCTTCTTGGGGGGGCTGGGCACCAAGGACCTAGCTTCTGTGGATCTTGGGTGTCCTTTATTACTAGAGTTTGACTCTCTCAGCCATGCCCCTCTGCTGACTGCCAGCCCCAGTCATGGGCCTAAGGCCTCCCACCCCATCCCCCTCGGGGGGCTCAGGCTCGGGTTCCTTGCCCCCTCCTTCCCGCCGCCAGCCTCTCAGCCGCCGCTGCTCTTCCTGCTGCTTTCCGGGGGGTAGGTGAGGCTGGAGCAGAGGGGCAGAGGGAGGTGGGCGAGTGTGCTGGGGCCAGGGGTGGAAACCTGGGCCAATACGGACCCTTCCCCAACTTCCCTTCTGGTCCCTTTCTCCCCTCCAGAATACCACTTGGGTCGCTCGAGGAGGAAGAGCGTCCCAGGGGGGAAGCAGTACAGCATGGAGGCCGCCCCCGCTGCACCCTTCCGGCCCTCGGTGAGTGAACACATCCTGCCAGATGTGGCTCAGCTGGGTCCCCTCCCCTCCAGCCCCAGCTGGAGCCCCAGGATTGTGAGAAAGGGGGCGAGGAGAGAGAGAGAGAGAGTGTGTGTGTGTGTGTGTGTGCGTGCGCGCGCGCGTGTGTGTGTATGTGTGTCTCCTCATCTCTTTGGTTTCCCCCTCCTTGGCTCTTCCCCTCTGCTTCTCAGACCAGCCCTCCCACCTTTTCCAGGCTGGGGTGTGTATGTGTGTGTTTGTGTGCGTGTGTGCACTCACACTGTGGGAGCACAGGAAGACACTGGTAGCAGGGCTCCTATCCCCCTTTCCTCGCCTCTAGAGACTTCCCTTTTCCCCTCATCCCACCTTCATCCAGGGGTTCTTCACCAGCTGAAGGGTAAGTAAGTAGAACCAGTGCTGTCCCAACCCACCCCTATCCCCATTTCCCCCCAACCCAGCAAGGCTTCCTGAGCCGGAGGCTAAAAAGCTCCATCAAACGCACGAAGTCACAACCCAAACTTGACCGGACCAGCAGCTTTCGCCAGATCCTGCCTCGCTTCCGAAGTGCTGACCATGACCGGTACAGGGGCTGGATTGGGTGGGATGAGTTGGGTGCAATGTAGGGGGCTCTAGAGTGAGGTTGGAGGGGTGGTGTTTATCTGAGTGCAGAGGTTGAAGGTCTCTGAGAGATGTTACAGGGCAGGGGCTAGAACGGAGGACGAGAGGAAGCAGCAGGAAAGGGGCAGGGTGTAAGGAGAGGACAGAGCAGAGAGGCAGGAAAGAGCATGAAGGTGAAGCCAAGGAGGGACTCTTCTGGCCGATGGAAGGATGGGCTCCATCCCAGAAGGACAGAGGAGTGCTGGAGCCTGGGGTGGACATTTCAGGAACCCAGGGAAGGGGTGGTGGGTGGCTAGGAGGGGAGCAGTGTGACCTAGGTAGCCGTATGAGGGAAGGGTGGCAGGTTGGGGTGGGGCTGGCAGGTATTAATAGATGAGAGAAGGGGCAGTGTAGAGAGAGGGGAGGCGGGCACAGGTGTGTGCACGCTGACAGGATGGAGAGAGGAGGCTGAAGGGTTAATCCATGGACTGAGGCATGAGAAGGAAGTCCTCGGATAAGTCCAGAGGGCACCGCCAACCAGGCTGGGGTTGAAGGAAAGCTTGTTTGCTTCTGTGGTCTGCTTTTTGGGGTACCTTTTGGGTTCCCCCCTCACCCAGTGTCTCCCCAGGGAGAGCCCTGTCCTTCCTTTCCCCCATGTCTGGCCGCCCCCGGATTGGGCAGGTAGGGAGGTTGGGATAGGTGAGTCACACCTTCCCCTCCCCCCTCCCATGTCACCATAACTGGATTTGGGGCCGGTGGGGGGTGAGGGCATGGTATTCCTGGCCGCGGGGGCGGGGGGCCGGGGGAGCGTCGCGCTGACGGCAACGGAGCCCAGAATGACGGGGCTGCTATAAATAGCTTCATGGAGGCTCCCACACCCGAGCTCCCCCTCCCGCTTCCCTACTGCTCTCTACTCTCCAGCCCCTAGCTGGCTCCATTCGCTCACTGTCCTGTGGCCCTTTTCCACCTCCTGCTTTCCCGCAGTGATTTGCCCAAGTTCATCCCCTCTTGTCCCCTACATCTGTTCCCACGTCCAGCTCTGTGGTCACCCTTCCTCATCATCTCCCATCCTGTCTTCCTGCACACGTACCTTTCCTTCATCCCTTTCTCCTTCTGGCCCCATCTCCTCTCCTTCCCCAGTCATCATTTTCAGCCTCTCATCTCCATTCTCACTCTTCTGCCCACAGTTTTTTCCTATTTCTTGTGATTTCCCTCACTCTTTCCCCTGATCCTGCTAAAACTGGTCTCTCTTACCTCATTCATTCTTTGATTCAATAAATGCTTTTTAGGCCCTACCTGTGTGCCAGCGTGGACAAGCATCTTTGTACTTTTGGTTCTTTACTTCTACTTTTTTCCCCCTTATATTGAGGCTCTGGTGTTTGGGGGTCACCTGGAAGTCCCACCTAGAAGTGTCCAAGGCCCACCTGTTCGCCTTTTTTTTCCCACCATGGTCCATTTCTGGGTTGAGATATTTCGAGGTGTCCCCAGTCCTCATAACCCCTTAGGTTGAGGGGAGTGTGTTTCATAAAGGGCTCGAGTTTCCTTCGTATCCCTCATGTCCATCCCCAGGGATAGAGTGGGTTTCTTTCTGTCTGTGTCTGTGTCCACATGGGAAGTGGGTTTAGGAGGTCCTTTCCCCAGGTCTCCGTCCTAGAGCCAGGTGGATGATGCAGGCTCTGGGGGTGTTTGCATAGTGGGGCCCTGATCCTCCCTCCTGAACCCCCCTGCCTACCAGGGCCCGGCTGATGCAGAGCTTTAAGGAGTCACACTCTCATGAGTCCTTGCTGAGTCCTAGCAGTGCGGCCGAGGCCTTGGAGCTCAACTTGGATGAAGATTCCATTATCAAGCCAGTGCACAGTTCCATCCTGGGCCAGGAGTTCTGTTTTGAGGTACTGGGTCTAATGGGCTGGGACAGGCCCAAGGGCAGGGGTGACGGAGCATGAGGGCGGAAAGGCCTGGAGAAAGCGGCATAGGTGGGGATGTCAAGGGAATAGAAGCCTCTGCGGCTGGGAGACAGGACGGTAGGCCAGGGAGGGAGAGAGGGTGGTGGGCCTCAGGCCTTAGGAGTCACCGCAACTCTGGAGCCCCGTCTCACCCCCACACCCTCCCTAGGTAACAACGTCATCAGGAACAAAATGTTTTGCCTGTCGTTCTGCGGCTGAGAGGGACAAATGGATCGAGAATCTACAGCGGGCAGTAAAACCCAACAAGGTATTGGGAGTCAAGGAGACACAGAGTGGGCAAGGCAGAGGTCGAGCTGCAGGGGCAGCTGGGGGCCTAGGGGAGAGGGGAGCAAGGTGGAGGGGACCCGGAGGAGCAGGAGGAGACCCCATTTTTCTCTGAGTCCCCCATTTCTTTTCCCCTCCTTTCTACTTTATGATCTGTTTCCCTACCACAGAAATCATAGATTTATAGAGTTGATGGGATTCTGGAAGTTCTCTGGTCCATCTCTGCAGGAAGGGATGTCCCACTAATCCCCTGACATCCCCTGTCGCCCAGCCCCTGCTTGCAGTCCTGTTTCTGCAGGACACATAGAATTGTCAGTTAGCCAGGTCTCTGGACATTGGTTTCCTCTGTCAAACTGGTGGGAATGGACTAGATGATCTCTGTCCCTTTGGCTTCAAAATTCTGAGTCTGTGTTCTTCCCAAGACATGTACTTTCCAGGAGAAATGTTCCCAGTTCTATCAGCTATTCTCTGTTTCCCAGTTTCCAATGAGCTCACAGTCCTGATGGCCCTCCTCTGAGAGCATCCTTGTGTGTCAATGTCCTTCTCAAAAACTAGACCCAAGATGCTGGATGCGATCTACCCTGTGCAGAGTCCAGACAGTCTTTCACATTGCAGTGTCACCTGCACCTTGCCGGAGCTTGTGGTCAATTGTAATCCCTTAGGCCCTTTGCACACTACTATATAGTCTCATCTATTCTGCATTTATACAATTCTTATTTTTTTCCCAATTAACTTCTGATTGTCTTTGAAGGACTCCTCAGTTCTCCTGTTCAAATTTCATCTTAATATTTTTGGTTTCTTATTCTAGCTTTTAAATTTTTTCCCAATTCTAATTCTAGTGTCTGATGTATGAGCTACCCTTCTTTCTGTCTTAGTTTCCCAGGACTATTAAAACAAATTACCACAAACTGGGCTGCTTAAAACAATAGAAATCTATCCTCCTGACAGTTCAGAAGACTGAAAGTCTTAAGTCAAGGTGTTAGCAGGGCCTTGCTCCCTCTGCAACTCTGGAAGAATCCTCCCTTGCCTCTTCACCCCTTCTAGTGGTTGCTGGCAGTCTTTGGCATTCCGTGACTTGTAGCTGCATGTGTGCAGTTTTTGTCTCCATCTTCACATGGCCATCTTCCCTCTGTGTGTCTCTGGTCTCCAAATCTTCCTCTCCGTATGGACACCAGTCATTAGATTTAGGGTCCACTCTGATCCAGTATGACCACATCTTAGTATGATTATATTTGCAAGGACCTTATTTCTAAATAAAGTCACATTCACAAGTTCCGAGTAGACATGAACTTGGCGGGGGCGGGGGAATACTGTTGAATCCAGTATACACTTTCTCAGCCCTGTGATTGCTGTCTCATAGGCTGTCTCACTTTTTCACTCTCTTCTCTCTTGGTGTCTCTGTCTCTCTGTCCCTGCTCCTTTATCCACCATGCCCACCCTACCACGCCAGGACAACAGCCGCCGGGTGGACAACGTGTTGAAGCTGTGGATCATAGAGGCCAGGGAACTGCCCCCCAAGAAGCGGTACTACTGTGAGCTCTGCCTGGACGACATGCTGTATGCGCGCACCACCTCCAAGCCCCGCTCGGCCTCAGGGGACACCGTCTTCTGGGGCGAGCACTTCGAGTTTAACAACCTGCCGGCTGTCCGGGCCCTGCGGCTGCATCTGTACCGTGACTCAGACAAAAAGCGCAAGAAGGACAAGGCGGGCTATGTCGGGCTGGTGACTGTGCCTGTGGCCACCCTGGCCGGGCGCCACTTCACAGAGCAGTGGTACCCCGTAACCCTGCCAACAGGCAGCGGGGGCTCTGGGGGCATGGGGGGCTCAGGAGGGGGCGGGGGCTCAGGGGGCGGTTCAGGGGGCAAGGGCAAAGGCGGTTGCCCGGCTGTGCGGCTGAAAGCACGTTACCAGACAATGAGTATCCTGCCCATGGAGCTGTACAAGGAGTTTGCAGAGTATGTCACCAACCATTATCGGATGCTGTGTGCAGTACTGGAGCCCGCCTTGAACGTCAAGGGCAAGGAGGAGGTTGCCAGTGCACTGGTTCACATCCTGCAGAGTACAGGCAAAGCCAAGGTGAGTGTCATGCCCTCAAGGAAAAGGTGATCTGGGTGTGGACACTTGCTTATGGGGACTGTAAAGATAGGACACTTCTGTCTTTGTGAGCTTGGGTTGTATAGAGGCTGACCCTTGGGTTTTCCTGGGCCCCAGGACTTCCTTTCAGACATGGCCATGTCTGAGGTGGACCGGTTCATGGAACGGGAACACCTCATATTCCGCGAGAACACGCTCGCCACTAAAGCCATAGAAGAGTACATGAGACTGATTGGTCAGAAATACCTCAAGGATGCCATTGGTATGACCCGCCCGCAGGGCTTTTTCCTAGCCTACCAGCTGCCCACCCAGCCCTAAACATAGCTGCTCCAGACCCCAGTTACACCCTTCCTCAGCTTGATGCTTCTAAGCCTAGAGTCCCTGGACTCTGGCCTTCAACTGAATTCCGAGATTCCGTGAACCCAGGCAGCCCCTGTCCCTGCCTTTAGAAAGTGTGACCTCCCCCCATTGTGTCCCCACCACCAGGGGAATTCATCCGTGCTCTGTATGAATCTGAGGAGAACTGTGAGGTGGACCCCATCAAGTGCACGGCCTCCAGTCTGGCAGAGCACCAGGCCAATCTGCGAATGTGCTGTGAGTTGGCCCTGTGCAAGGTGGTCAACTCCCATTGGTGAGACTGGGAACGCTGGGTTGGGGGGCTAGGGTTGGGGAAGTCGTGTGTTCATCTGTTCATCCATCTGTCCATCCTCAAAGAGGACCAGTTATGGGCACAGCATTGGTCTCAGTGCTGTAGAGTAGACAGAGAGGAATGAGGCTTGGCCCTTGCCCTCAGAGGGCCTCCACCAGAATGTGTAGGGACAAATCAGACACACAAAAAGCCACAGAACAGTGTAGTATATGTTAAGTGCCAAGTAAGGGTCCCCCCACGGTGCAACGTAAGGTCAGAGAAAGCAGAACTTTGGTTGAGATAAGCATGAAAGACTTCATGGAGGAGGTGCCTCTGGGCTGGGCTTCAAAGACTGGGTCAGGTTTTGAGGTATGGAATATGGTGGGCCAAGAAGACGTTTCAGGAGAAGGCTATGGAACAGGCACATGCGTGAAGGTGAGAGGACTCGGGACAGCAGTTGAAACTGGTTCAATGGAGCACGTGGCTTGTAAAGGAGAGTGGTGGGAGAGATGTCTGGACAGGGTGAGTGGAGTTAGAATCTGGAAGGCCTCCGCTGCAAGGGAAAGGAGTTTGAGTTCATTGGTAGGTCATGGGATGCCATTAATGGTGTTGGTGCCAAGAAGTATCACGATTGAGAAGATTAATCCTTAAGGGGGTGCAGGAGGTGACTGGAGTAGGGAGAATGAAGTCCAGGCTAGTTGGGGGCTATTGTTAATGGGCCAGGCATGGAAATCAGATCCTGAATCAGGATGATGGCAGGGACTCATAGAAAGGGGCTGCTGTAAGGACCCTCTGAGAAAAGGATCAGCAAGAATCATCAGCTGATTGGAAAGGAGAGGGTGTCTGTGGGAAGTCGAGGATGGCTCAAGAGGCCATGAGGCTGAGGTTTGGGAGACCTGTGGTCTCATTGACAGAACCAGGGAAGTCAGGAGGAGGAGCCTGTTGGAGGTGTGGGGGCCACAGTAAGCTCTGCTTTACACAGTCAGAGTTTAAGGTGTCAATGGGACATTGAAGAGGAGGAACTGGGAGGTGGGGGGAGTGAGCTCTGAGCCATTCCAGGGACTGGGGATCATGCCTGGGGCACCTTCATCCCCATTTCCCTGGAATCCAGAAGAGTTGGGGGGTCCGAGCTCCCTGTACCTCAAGTGACCCTCCATCTCTCTCCCATCTCTGTCTCTCCCTGGTGTCTGTTTTTCTTCTCCTCCTCTCCTTGTCTCTCTCACACCCTCCTCCATCTCTCTCCCGCGTGTCTCTTTCCCCTCACTTCTCTCCTCCTTCGTTTCTCTCTCCCTTATCTGTCTGTGCCCTCTGCCGTCGCCCTCTTCCTCCAGCAGCCTCCCATCTTCCTCCTGCAGTCCCTACTCCCTGTCTCTCTCACCTGTTTCCACACCCTCACCTCCTGCCACCCCCCTCCAGCATGTTCCCTGGAAGCTGAGGGTCTCTGGGGCTCAGTCCCGGTCTCTCTCTTTCTCTCTCTCTCTCTCTGTCTCCCCACCCCTTCCCCTCAGCGTGTTCCCGAGAGAGCTGAAGGAGGTGTTTGCATCTTGGCGACTGCGCTGCGCAGAGCGGGGCCGGGAGGACATTGCTGACAGGCTGATCAGCGCCTCGCTCTTCCTGCGCTTCCTCTGCCCAGCCATTATGTCGCCCAGTCTCTTTGGGCTCATGCAGGAGTACCCAGATGAGCAGACCTCACGAACCCTCACCCTCATCGCCAAGGTCATCCAGAACCTGGCCAACTTTTCCAAGTGAGGGAAGCCTCAGGCAGGGGGTAGGGTGGGGCTAGAGTGGGCGGGAAGGGTCTCCCAAGAGACAGAGGTGGGTTTGAGGTCTTCTGTGTGTGACCTCTACCTTCTGGATGTTTTGGCCAGGTTTACCTCAAAGGAGGACTTTCTGGGATTCATGAATGAGTTTCTGGAGCTGGAGTGGGGTTCCATGCAGCAGTTCCTGTACGAGATCTCCAACCTGGACACGTTGACCAACAGCAGTAGCTTTGAGGGTTACATTGACTTGGGCCGAGAGCTCTCCACACTGCACGCCCTGCTCTGGGAGGTGCTGCCCCAGCTCAGCAAGGTCAGCAAATGCCCCTTGGCCCATCCTCAGAGGTCTCCAGAGGCTCCTGTGGCCTGAGAAACCCACCCCCTGCACAGATTTTTCTCCTTTCCCTATTCCCAGACGTGTCACTACCACTCCCCCAGCTCACCCACCTTCCACCTGAATCCTCTGAGGTCCCCTTAAAGCTGGGCACTTAGCTCCCATGTAACAGCCTCCCTGTTCCAGGAAGCCCTCTTGAAGCTGGGCCCACTGCCCCGGCTCCTCAACGACATCAGCACAGCTCTGAGGAACCCCAACATCCAAAGGCAGCCAAGCCGTCAGAGCGAGCGGCCTCGGCCTCAGCCCGTGGTGCTGCGGGGCCCTTCGGCCGAGATGCAGGGCTACATGATGCGGGACCTCAACAGGTGAGCGCCTTGGGACCCCCACACCTGCACCCTAGGAGCCCTCACATTTCTGTCCTAATACACTCCACTGGGCTCCACGTGTATCTCTTGAGGGCTTGAAAGGAGAGAGAAGCAGGTTCTTAGAGCAAATGGTAAGGAGACAGGTACAGCCAGTGGTGAGGCTGAGAGCCTTTTAAAGCCAGATGGAGCAAGAAACAGAGCCCCCAGAAAAAGTGCAGAGATTCCTCTAGCTCCAGCTTGGTGTAAGCCAAGGGTGTCCGGCTGCAAGCTCTGCTTTGCTTTGTCCCTCTGCCTGCCTGTGCCTGCTCCAGACCTGAGGTCCAGCCAGTACACACTGAATCAGCCACCTGGTGCCAAAACATTCAGATATCTCTGTACTAGTTGGTAGAGAAGCACTACCCCCACCAGAGCCCCGCAGACCTTGCCACAAAGTGCGAAATAGCACCTGGACCCCACCCAGCAGGGCCTCCTCCGCTACAGCATTCTGTCTGGTGGCGCGGCCTTGAGCCACAGCTGCTGCCCCCGTTATTTTGATGACGCCCTGCTTGTTCCTCTGCCCGCGTCTCTCCCTCCATGACGCCATTCCCATTCCACATTCCCGCCTCTCCTTCCATACGTCCACAACTTCTGCCCGCCTCTCTCCTTCTCTCTGTCTGTGCTTGCCCCTCTTCCCATCTCTCTCCAGCTCCATCGACCTTCAGTCCTTCATGGCTCGAGGCCTCAACAGGTGAGGGGCTCTCCCCTCCCCCGCCCTCCTCTCCGTTCCTGTCTGCTCCCCTCTCCCCCTCCAGTGGCCTTCACCTTCCGCCGCTCCTCTTCTCCTCCATGCACCCTCATCTCCTCCATATCTGCCCAGATCTGCCCCTCATCCCTCCTCTTGCTGCCCCATCTCCCCTCCCTGAGGCCTCCCTCCCTTCCTGGAGGGGCCTTGTCCTTTCCTTTTTTCCTCGTATCCCCTCCTGTCCTCCTTGCCTGCCTGCCCTCTCCAGAGCTGCCACCACCAGCTCTCAGCCCTTCCCGTGGGTCCCACTTCTCACCCTGAGGCCTGTGCCTGACCACAGCAGGCTCGACTGCTGGTAGCCTTGGTCTTACCTCCCACTCGTGTGCCCCCTTCCCTTCCAACAGCTCTATGGACATGGCTCGCCTCCCCTCCCCAACCAAGGAAAAGCCACCTCCACCGCCGCCTGGTGGGGGGAAGGACCTGTTCTACGTAAGCCGTCCGCCCCTGGCCCGATCCTCGCCAGCGTACTGCACAAGCAGCTCGGACATCACGGAGCCAGAGCAGAAGATGCTGAGTGTCAACAAGAGCGTCTCCATGCTGGATCTGCAGGGTGATGGGCCGGGCGGCCGCCTGAACAGCAGCAGCGTGTCCAACCTGGCGGCCGTTGGGGACCTGCTGCACTCTAGCCAGGCCTCTCTGACGGCGGCCTTGGGGCTGCGGCCTGCGCCCGCTGGACGCCTCTCCCAGGGGAGTGGCTCGTCCATCACGGCAGCCGGCATGCGCCTCAGCCAGATGGGCGTCACCACGGACGGTGTCCCTGCCCAGCAACTGCGCATCCCCCTCTCCTTCCAGAACCCTCTCTTCCACATGGCTGCTGATGGGCCAGGCCCCCCAGGGGGCCACGGAGGGGGCGGTGGCCATGGCCCACCCTCCTCCCATCACCACCATCATCACCATCACCACCACCGAGGTGGAGAGCCCCCAGGGGACACCTTCGCCCCATTCCATGGCTATAGCAAGAGTGAAGACCTCTCCTCAGGGGTCCCCAAGCCCCCCGCTGCTTCCATCCTTCACAGCCACAGCTACAGTGATGAGTTTGGACCCTCTGGCACTGATTTCACCCGTCGGCAGCTCTCACTCCAGGACAACCTGCAACACATGCTGTCCCCTCCCCAGATCACCATTGGTCCCCAGAGGCCTGTCCCCCCAGGGCCTGGAGGTGGGAGCGGCAGTGGGGGCAGTGGTGGGGGTGGCGGGGGCCAGCCGCCTCCATTGCAGAGGGGCAAGTCTCAGCAGTTGACGGTCAGCGCGGCCCAGAAACCCCGGCCATCCAGCGGGAATCTATTGCAGTCACCGGAGCCGAGTTACGGCCCTGCCCGTCCACGGCAGCAGAGCCTCAGCAAGGAGGGCAGCATTGGGGGCAGCGGGGGAAGCGGTGGCGGAGGGGGTGGGGGGCTCAAGCCCTCCATCACCAAGCAGGTAGGTGAGGGTGGGAGGAAGAAGGAAATGGGTTGGGGAGGTGGGGGTAGAACAGAGTTTGTGGTCTCAAGTTACAATTTTCTCACCTCCTTTCATTCGTTAAACAAGTGCACATAGAGTCCCTGCTGTGCGCCTGTGCTGTTCTAGGCACTGTGCGGTGAACCACAGAACTCCCTGCCCTTGTGGAGCGCACGTTCAAAGGGGAGACCTGATAACTAATGATAGCTTTTACGAGGTGATCTGTGCTAGAGCAGGGGAACAGGATGGGGACTCTCCTCTCTTGGCAATGCCCACTCTCTAAACGCACTACACCTTCTCCCACCTTTCCTCTCTCCGTCTGCCCCCCGCCTTGTCCCAGCATTCTCAGACGCCTTCCACATTGAACCCCACAATGCCAGCCTCCGAGCGGACGGTGGCCTGGGTCTCCAATATGCCTCACCTGTCGGCTGACATCGAGAGTGCCCACATCGAGCGGGAGGAGTACAAACTCAAGGAGTACTCTAAGTCGATGGATGAGAGCCGGCTGGACAGGGTACGTGGGGTCCTACCATCCCCAAGCCCTGTGCTTCCCTTTACCCACAGGGCAGACTTCTAGTGCCTTCCAAGGGCAACATCTGGGGTCGGGTAGTTACGATGAAAAGAAAGGACAAAGATCTGATCCGCTCTCTGGAGAAATCCTCAGTCTACCAAGCAAGGCCAGATACAATCAGTCCACTGAAAAGCCACTTTCAGCTGTTTTGTGGGTTGCACACATCACAGATTTCCCCAGGGGAATCAAGTTCTCTATTAGACTACATCTATGTTTTTCCCCGGGGAGAACATAAGCCCTGGCTCCTGTGACTGCTCAGGAAAGTTACTTCGCCAGCAGTCTGAGTTGATAAATTGGGTGGGGGCAGAGAGGTTGCAGTTGTACTACAAGTGAAGTACAGCTTACACAGTCACTGTCCCATGGACATCGGTGACAGAGGGTTGGTGGTTAGAGGTTGCATGTTGGAAAGTGGGGTGTATCAGCCCATGTGTGGAAAGAGTATCCTGACTCTCAGCTGGTAGTGGCCCAGAGCAAAAAACAGCAAGAGCTCTGGGGTTCACACACTTAGCAGAAAGTTCCTTTATGGGAAGCCGTTGCTGCAAGGATGGGGAAGAGGAGGAGGAAGAGGGTGGCTGTGTATTAGATTATATGTAAAGACTATATACTCCAACTTGGGGGAGCAGAGAGGTTTTGTGAGGCAAGTGGTCTCTGAACAGAGCAAAATGTTGGGATTGATTTAGATGCACTTGAGCTAAGAGAATATCTTCAGGCCATATAATAAATTATTTCCAGCACCATTTAACAAGCTGAGGACAAAATGCATTCAGAGTGTGTCTGTGGGTCTAAGTCCAGGTGCAGGTCCTCACATGTCCAGATACATACATGAGAGCATGTATATTCCTCTCAGGGAGTGAGAGCTATGATCTTGCTCTATTTTGAGGGAGCCTCGGCCCCATAGAATGGCCTTTTTAAAAGCCACTGTGTGTATGATCAACAGGCAAGGAAAGGGCTAGAGAAGGTGGCTGGGATGTCCCTTACCGTGCAGCGGCTGTGCCTGGCAGGCAGGGATAGAAGCTGGGTGGTGGGCTCTGGGCACAGCACCCCTCACAGTGCGGGGTCGTGTGCCCGGCGGGCAGGTGAAGGAGTATGAGGAGGAGATCCACTCACTGAAGGAGCGACTGCACATGTCCAACCGGAAGCTGGAAGAGTATGAGCGGAGGCTGCTGTCCCAGGAGGAACAGACTAGCAAAATCCTGATGCAGTATCAGGCCCGGCTGGAGCAGAGCGAGAAGAGGCTAAGGCAGCAGCAGGTGGAGAAGGACTCCCAAATCAAGAGCATCATTGGCAGGTGAGGAGCGGCCCGGGGAGGAGTAGCAAAGGAGAGGGTGAGGCTAAAGAGGGGCAGTGAGCTCCCCCTCCAGCCCCCAGACCCTTTCCTCCAACTCAGGACACTACGAGGGAAGCCCACCACTCTGCTCTCGGGGATGCCAGCCACTCTCCCATCACCTGATGGAGAGAAGCCTCTTGCTTAGTGCATTACACGTTCCTTTACTAAACCCCGACCTCTCTCCTGATGGAGTAACTTCTGAAGCCCTTGGTAAACTACCTCTTACTGTCCAACCATCACTGTGTGTCTGGACCAGGCCTAGGCTGGGACTCCCCACTGCTTACTCTCAAGCCAGCCTAAGCATGGGTCCCTTAGCCATAGTAGCCCCTGACTACCCCATCCTGGGCACACCCTTCCTCTCCAGTCTCGGAAAGGTGTTCCATTAGAAAGTGAATGACGCTTGTTTAGCCTGTGCACATTTTTAACTGCTCTCCCAAGCCCTGGGCTCCAAAGGAGGCATCTCAACAAGGCAGGGGGGATGTGGTGAGTTATCTTGAGAATTGGTGGGACCCCAGGCCCCACTTCAGCCAGAGCCAGCTCCATTTCAATCCATTCTAAATGTATTTTTGAGTAAAATTAATTAGAAGACAACTGCTTGACTTGAAACTGTTTCGAAAACCGCTGCTTTGAAATCCTTTGTGAGCAGTCACCTGGAGAATCTTCTTCAAAGGCAGGGAGATGCTGGGAATGACTATGTAAAGATTCCTTTTGGGCAAGGGGTGTCCAGGAGCTGCCCTGAAGATGGCCTAGGTTCTGTGAGGTGGAGGGGGGATGTAGAAGCCAGGTCTTCAGCTGCAGAGGTTCTGAGGGCGGGCACTGTCGTGAAGGGAGCTTGGAGTGCCAGAGTGTCTGGTAGTAGAGGTCTTTGAGGCAAAGAAAACTCCTTAGCAGGGAGATGTGAGCATCCCTGAGAGGAAGGTGAATGACAGGGAGTCTTTGGGGATTGGAACAGTGGAGGGATTCTGAGGGCAGGGGAGAAGGATGCACAAGGCTTTTCCAGAGAACTGCGGGGGTTCCCTGGGACCAGGAGTTCATGGGCAGGCGCCAAGCCTGTGCCCGCCACTAACCCCACTGAAGCCCGTCCCTTCAGGCTGATGCTGGTGGAGGAGGAGCTGCGCCGGGACCACCCCGCCATGGCTGAGCCGCTGCCCGAACCCAAGAAGAGGCTGCTCGACGCTCAGGTGGAAATTACAATGTCATTTATCTTCTCCGTGTCCCATCCCCATCCATCCCACTGTCCTTCGTGCAGTCACTGCACCAGCCACCCCAGCCCCATCACCATCTGTCTCTCCTGTTGTCCTCCGTTTGTCCACTGGCTGCTCCCAGCAGCCTCCCCAGCAACCCCATCTTCATCCCATCGTCTGTGCCTTTGTCACTCCTGGCAGTGTCGGCCCCACCCCTGTGCCTCCCCACCCTGTCTTCCCTCCTCCCATCTGCGTTTCAGGACCTCCTACTGGAACCTCAGTCTCTCTGCCCCCAGACCCCACCAGTTCCTGGAACCCCTGCCCCATCTGTGCCCGCTTCTGTTGAAGTCAGGGAGTTCAGCTTCGTCTGAGCTCTTCTTGGGACAGGAGGGTCAGAGGCTCAGTTTGCTAGAACAGAGCACAGGGCAGTGTATGAGGTCCAGTTTCCCCAGGCTCTTCACGGTGCCCTGAGGACTTGAGTTCCTCGTCACCGCTGTTCTCTTGGCTCCCCAACTTCCCTCACTCTTTGATAGCTCCCGCTTAGCTTCCCCTTCCTGACTCCTCAGATCTTGAGGGCCTCCCACCCTCCCTGCAAGCTCTCCCATCCTTCCCTCAGTGTTGAAGTCCAGCCTTCTTTGGCCTGTCTCTCCCTCTGGTCCTCACATCTGACCAGCCTCTCTAGCTCCCTGCTGCCTCCCTCTCTTTCAGCAGCCAGCTTTCAGGACCTCCCTCCTGCACTCTTACCCTTTGTTCCCCACCCCCACCCCCACCCCCGTTCTGCTCACTTTCCTACCCATGCTCCTCTCTCCTCCGCTCTGACCTCCAGGCTCCCCCTCAACCACCACCAAGGCTCCTGATCCCATGACCCCACTCTCTCCCCCTGCAGCTCCTCATCAGGTAATTCTCCTGGTTCCGCTTTGACCACGGGCGGAGGACACAGGGGGAGGTGACTCCGGACCACTGCAGGTTGGTCGTGAAGCCCACTCCCCTCTGACTCTCCAGAGCCTCCCCTCCTCTCACTGCTGCCCTCCACACCCGAGAACCTCCACACACCCTACCCTCATGACACCTCCTGCACAGACCCACCTCCCAAGGCACTGCCCAAAGAGAGCACTTCCTCCGCCTCCCAGAACTGTCCAGGGCCACCTCACCATCAGTAGGCGTTTGACCCTAGGCCGGCCCAGCACATTCCCCGATCACACTCCCTTTCCTACAAAACCCACCCCAGCCTCCTGACTCTCAGTTCTCTTCCTCTGCCTCTCCAGTGTATGTCTGTCACCCCCCATTTCACCAAAGCGTCCTTGGGGTTGGGACACTGGGGGTGGAGTTTGTTAAAGGGGTAGTGGTGCTGGGTTGGAGGGCCCTGGCTAGAGGGGCTGTGCTGACTGCGGCAGGTAGGTTGGGATTTCCTCTTCCTTCTCCTTCACCTTGGTTCTGTAGAGAACCCTCCTTCCTTCCACCCCTCACCTGCTTCTCTCTCTTCCTCCCTCCTTACATCTGTGAGGTTGAAGGCTTCTGGGGCTCCTATTCGGTCCCACTGGGTGGGAATTAAGAGTGGGTGGTTAGGGAGACTTTGGGGGGCTCGGAAGGGTGTCGGGAACGTAAGCAGGGTGAGTGGAGCAAGAAGGAGCCTTGACAGATGTTAGGATGTGGACTGGCCCGTCGGGCGTGGGAGTTGGAAGTGGAGTGAGATGTCCTCCCAGATAAGATCATGGGCTGGGTAGCCATGTTGATTCCCGGGCAGAGATGCCAGGAACAGCAGGTTAAATAAACGCAGGGGTTGCTGATGCCACTCACTCCCCGTCTCCCGCCACCCAGTGGCCTTGCCGGACGCAGAATCCTACCTAAAAAGCCAGTAAATGGGAACCTGTCAGCCAGTGACATCATTTCTGAGATGCTTTATTTCCTGTGGGACTGATCTGCAGTGGGCAGTGGCTCCTCACACTGTAATTTTAACTCTCTGCCTGCCCAGCCTCTCTGTCAAAGTAGTTAGTGATCTGAAAACAGATGCTACAAGGCACCAGGGGACCTCACCATTTAAAGGACTCCTGCGGGGAATTCTTTTGTAAAATGAATAATGGCACCCTAATTTATCTGCTTTCTAAATTTGGGTCCATGGGGGTGTAGGGGGCATGCCTATGTGCTGTTGCCAGCAGACAAGCAGAGGGAAGGGAATCTGAGGTTTCCTTCCCCTGCTCTCCTGCCACACTCAGGATACCCCACCATACGTAATTTCCTCTCTTGCTGACTTGTGGAAAATGTGTGAGATTTCAGCAAGCTAGGAGGGCGGTTTGGCTTAAATCTGGGGTTTGAGTGACCTGAGAGATGAGCTCTTTGATTTGGAAGGAAGAGCTGATCTGGGAGCCTCTGCTGAAATGTTTTTATGTCTTTTAGAGATTTGATCATACACAGCTAGGTTGCCTGGCCCTGTGGTCCAGGAAATAATTTGGACACTTTTTCTAAACCACTTTCAGGTATTGGTCCTTCTGCAACTCAGCCATTAATGTAAAAATTCATTTTGTGCCTGCATTTTTAAAAGCCAAGGGAGCGACCTGAAGGGTAGAACACATGGCTTTCTTCTCCTCTCCCTGCAGAGGAACAGAAGCCAGAGCTGAGGGTAGGAGCCAGGAGTTGGTCCAGGAGTGGTAGGAGCGGGCAGAATAGGACCAGGGGTGGGAGTAGGGTTTGGTACCCCTCACCCTCTAACTGAGAGCCCAGGGTGAGGGAATGAAAGGAATGTGGGGGTGGAAAGGAATGAAGCCTTTCTGCTTCCTGGGGATGCAGAGATCGGGCCTGCTGAGTCTCTGCAGAAGCTCCTAGTCCTTTATTTTCTGCCATTAGCATGAGAGAGAGGCAGCCCTCCCACAATATTTTTACCTTCCCACATCACTTCCCTGAATCCCCTTCCTTTCCCCCCAGTACAGTTAAACCTCTCTAATTTGGAATGTTATATTTGAGAAGATGGCCACTCTGAATAAGTGACAAAACTGAATGACAGTGTCTATTTAATGAAATGCATGTCTTCAAAATACATACAGTAAGTAGCACTCGATGAACAAGGCGTTTCCACTCGAGGCCCTCAGGGAGCATGCGTTAATGAATAAATAGGCTTGAAAAGTCTGTTTTCTGGTATAGGTTAAATATTCCCTCCCACAGACACATTTCCACTATTAATTTGCTTAGTACACCCTTTTTTCACAGATAAAAGGAAACTCAAGCCCAGTTTTTGTTCAAATTATGAAAAATTCCAAATCCACGGGGGTTTGGATTAATGAGGTTTTGCTGTACTGCCTCCCCTTGTTCCCTCTCCACAGAGTTCCTACCTCAGATTGGAGGTGGGCTGAGAGGGGGGTCCCCGGGGTGGGGGCGTGGGTGGGCAGGGGGAGATACAGGATTCGGCTGGTGGGGAGATAGGAACTTGTTTTTTTTGAACTGGTTTCCTGGTGTGACTCTGTGGGTTGAAGGTCCCTGTTGGGGGTTGAGGGGGTGTTGTATGTGAGATCTCTGTGGGTTGGTAAGGGTCCCGTGTTGGGGGTTTGGAGGGGGTGGTTGTATGTGAGATGCTCTTCTCCCTGACCCCAGAAGATGTAACTTTTCCTGCAGGTGAGAAACCAGGAGGATGCAGGTCGGGGTGTCTGGGGGAGGGGGGTGGGATATGGTTTATGGAGTGGGCTGGCTATGGGGGAGGCCACTGCTGGGGGGCTGGCACCCATATCCCTGCGAAGCGTCTCAATAAGTCCGCGCTCTCCTCTTTGGTGTCTTGCAGGAGAGGCAGCTTCCCCCCTTGGGTCCAACAAACCCGCGTGTGACGCTGGCCCCACCTTGGAACGGCCTGGCCCCTCCAGCCCCACCTCCCCCACCCCGGCTGCAGATCACTGAGAACGGCGAGTTCCGAAACACCGCAGACCACTAGCCCACCCAGCATCACAGACTTCCTCCTCCTCCCTCCCGTGCACCCCACCCTGGAACAGCACCAACCACCAGGACTGGACGTAGTCGCCGAGGGACAGCGGGATTGCCTCCCTGAATGCCTCCCTGGGGGGGCACCATTCCCCCTCCCCCACTGCACCATTTCCAGGAGGGAGAGTGGGGACTCTTAGTTGCCCCCTTTTCCTTCCTGTTGGGGTGCTGCCCCTGTGACCCCCAGGAACCCCTGCCCCAGGACACCACCTACCCCACACAGACCCCTTCACTCCGGGGTGCTATCCCCATCCTCTGCCTCATCGTTCCCCTGAGCACTGGGGGACAGATCCTCGCCCCCACCCTGGGGGTGTGGCACCTCCAAACTTTCAACTTCAGGGTGATTTTTTTAGCAGTAACCAGAGCTGACAATCTTACTCCCCTCCACCGCCCCATTTTGGCCTCCCTTGTCCCCCTTGTTATGGGGAGGGGACCCCAGGTGAGGGGGCCCTATTACCCCTTGATTTCTCAGGAGCGTCTGGGGGGGCTCAGCACGCACAAACTCCTTCTCCTCCTACCACTCTTAAATTTACTCCCTTCCCACCCAGAACCCAGATGGGGTGGAGGGGCCACCGGGGCAGGGAGGGGGCGGCAAGGGGGGAATGGGAGTTTTCTCCCCTTCTTCCCATACCTGATCTGCTCTTGGCTGGTCCCAGAGCGGGGTGAGGGGGCTTATGCCCCCCCCTCCCCCAGTGTGTTGGGTGGGGCGGAACTGAGGTTAGGGTGAGGGGTTAGGGTTTAGGAGGGTGTGTATGTCAGGGAGGACAGACTAGTTAATCTGCCCTATCCTGACACACACAGCCCCCACTACCCCTCGCTTCTCTCTTCTTGGTCTCTACTCCCAGGGGGAGGGGGGAACTTACTCTAGGAAAAGCCATGTCTCTCTCCCCCAGGGTGGGGGGACCTGTGTTGGAGGAGGGGTGTTGAGGGCCCCCTTCCATGACTCTGTCTCCCGGGGGAGGTAGGACAGGGCTGGGCTTCCCTCTCATCCTCCCCGCCCTCCCCAATCTCCCTCCACCTCCCTCCCTCCCGCCAGCTCCACAATTTTTCGGTGTTTCTCTGTACATAGCTCTCTGGCGGGATAGGGGAGGTAGGATGGATGGGGTTTGGGGTGGGTAGGTCATAGGAGGGGAGAAGCCCCTCCTTGGCACCCCCTCTTCCCTGACTGCTGTCCCCTACCCAGCCTTGCCCCCTCATCCCTTCTTGCGTTTGGTATTGAGACTCTTCCCAGACTCCACCCTTCTTTCTTTTGTATGGACAGTTCCCCTTCAGTTCCATCCCCCTATACACATACACCCAGCCGGGGCCAAATTTATACTTATATAAAAGTTGTAAATATGTGAAATTTTATCCCTGTGCCCTTTCCTGCTTTCCCAACCTCATACCCTACCCCTGGACTCCCTTTCCTCTTCTCTTCTTTGGCTGTTGTAATTATCTGGGGTTTGTATTGTACATATCGGGGTGTGTGTGTGTGGGCTGGGGGCAACCCCTCTGTACAGAGCTTCCTGGCCCCCTCCCCCCCAGGCTTCCCTCCCCAGCCACCACCCTAAGGGTAGGGAGATGTTCTTCCTACCTGTTTTATTTTGTTTTCTCGTTCTCCCTCCCCACCCTACCCGACTCCCAGCCTACTCTATCCCCTACCACTGGCCCTTTTTCTCCACTCCCAGCCCCATTTCCTTTTTTTCTGGAGTGTGTGGTGAAACAGAAAAATCATGTTTAATAAACGGAGATTGTTCTTTTATCGCTGTGCTGACTTTCCTAGGATGGGACCTCCAGGAGAACCAGTAGGAACAGCCTGGGAGAAACTGTATATCCCTGCGTGATGCCATAGTCTCCCCCTAGAATATCACTCTCCCAATTAGCAAGGAGATTTATTCTATTTTACAGCAGGGGTTTCGTACTTGCCAAAATTAACCAGCCTATCCCCTCACCACTGCGCCACTTAACAGGAAGGACTAAAGAGGTCAAGGAACACCAGCATTCTCTGATAAAGGATTCCACGTTTATATCTACATATACCTTAAAAAATAATAGTAGTTACCTAGAAATGAAGTTTATTTAATTTCCGGTTAAAATTCTCCCATGCGTAATGGAGGAAAGAACTTGGTTCCCTAGCGAATCTGGGTTCCAGCCCCAGGCCCACCACTTGGCAGCCTCAGTTTCCCCCGAGGGAAGTCAGGATGGCAACACCTACCTCGCAGGCAGAGTGGAGGGGGAGTGAGATACAAGATGATGAGGACAATACCTAACCCATAGAGTAGGTGCTAACTTACTTTCGCCCTCTCAGCACCTACTGGGCGCGGGCGCTACGTTTAATCACCGGAATGGCTCTCAGGTCGCCCTCTCCGTTCAGGGTACGTTCTCCCGAAGCCCGATTCCTTGACCTCGGAGAGGCGGCCGCTCCATCCGCAGCCCCGCTGAGGCCAGCGGCTGCCCGCCAGCACCGCCTTCTCTCCAGCGCAACCAATCAGCACAAAGCTTGTAAGCCTGCGCCTCTCGATTGGCTGCGGCCCTGGCCCCGCCCGCCTTCCCTGCGTCGGCGTCCGGCCGAGAGGCGGTGGCTTCCGGCCGGGGCGGCGCGGTCTTTGCAGAGGTCCTCCGGGCGTTGGGCCGCGTGTGTACCCGTGGGGGCGTGGCGACGGAAAGGGCCGCCTGGCCGGCACTCGTGGGGTCCCGGTGGCTGTGTTTGCCCGGGAGCCGGACTCTGTGGGCACGTGAGTGGGAGCGGAGCGGCGGGCGGGAGCGGTCCTGGCCGGCGAGGTCCGGCTCGTGGCTGAAGGACCTCCTTGTCTTCCACAGTCTCTGGAAGTTAAAGCCCGGTTGGTGTTTTGTTGTGGCGGTTTGTTTTGTTTTCTTGGCGGGGGAGTGCGCGGGACTTAGCTGCCGGAACTATTACTAACTGAAAAGTTTCCACATGTTGGGGGGCAGGGGAGGCGGGCTTTGTTTGAGGAGACACGGTTCCACTTATCCGGAGCTGCTGTGACCCCTTCTCTTTCCTCCGCAGCCTTTCTCCCGCGCGGGCTCTACCCCGCCCCTCACCTCCTGTGCTCCTTCCTCTGGGATCTCTCTTTCCCAGGAGGCCATGGATACTTCGACGCCTTTGACTTCCGTAGCTCCCTCCCCGGGCTGCAACCCAGCCCCACGGACGATCCAGATCGAGTTCCCTCAGCATAGCTCATTGCTTCTAGAAGCCCTGAACCGCCACAGGCTAGAGGGAAAGTTCTGTGACGTGTCCCTCCTGGTGCAGGGCCGCGAACTTAGGGCTCACAAAGCGGTGTTGGCTGCCGCCTCTCCTTACTTCCATGACAAGCTTCTTCTGGGGGATGCGCCACGGCTCACTCTGCCCAGCGTCATCGAAGCCGATGCCTTCGAGGGGCTGCTCCAGCTCATTTATTCAGGGCGCCTCCGTCTGCCACTGGACGCTCTCCCCGCACACCTCCTTGTGGCCAGTGGCCTCCAAATGTGGCAAGTAGTAGATCAGTGCTCAGAGATTTTGAAAGAACTAGAAAACTCAGGTGGTGGAATTTCAACCCGGGGGGCACCCCCCTTCCACACACTTCTTTCCACCACATCCTCTGCAGGAGGCTGGTGCATTCGCTCTGCCCCTTTCCAGACCCCAGCGCAGTCTTCTGCTTCTACCGAGAGCCCCGTTGTAGGGGAGGGGAGTGAACTGGGAGATGTGTTGCAGATTCAAGTTGAAGAGGAGGAGGAGGAGGAGGAGGAAGAAGATGAGGAGGATCAGGGATCAGCAGCACCGTCTCAGGCTCCTCAACCTCAGAGAGGATCAGGGAGTTTTCCCCACCCTTCTGGATCCCACCCACTGCCTGTATCCACTACTCCCCGCAGGCTTCCAGAGGGTGAGAGTGCGCCACTTGAGCCTCCTGCCTCTCACACTGCACTGCCCCCCAAGATCTTCTTCGTTAAGCAGGAACCCTTTGAGCCCAAGGAAGAGATATCAGGAGGTGGAACTCAGTCTGGAGGAGCAAAGGAGGAAACCAAAGTGTTTCCTGGAGGGGACACTGAAGGGAATGGAGAGCTAGGATTCTTGCTGCCATCAGGAACAGGAACAACGTCTGGAGGAGGTGGTCCATCCTGGAAACCAGTGGATCTTCATGGGAATGAAATCCTGTCAGGGGGTGGGGGACCTGGGGGAGCAGGGCAGGCTGTGCATGGGCCTGTGAAGCTAGGTGGGGCACCCCCTGCAGATGGAAAACGCTTTGGTTGTTTGTGTGGGAAGCGGTTTGCCGTGAAGCCAAAGCGTGACCGGCACATCATGCTGACCTTCAGCCTTCGGCCCTTTGGCTGTGGCATCTGCAACAAGCGCTTCAAGCTGAAGCACCATCTGACAGAGCACATGAAGACCCATGCTGGAGCCTTGCATGCCTGTCCCCACTGCGGCCGTCGGTTCCGTGTCCATGCCTGTTTCCTTCGCCACCGGGACCTGTGCAAAGGCCAGGGCTGGGCCACTGCTCACTGGACTTATAAGTGACTGCTCAGGCCACATGCTAGCTTCCAGGACAAGGGAGCCACTGCTGCTGATGGATACTTCACCACTATGGCATCCCAGTCCTGGATCTTGTCATCATGCCAAGAGAATAGCTATGTTATGGATTTCTTGTTTTGGGGTGTTGGCCTCAATCTGGCAGTTTTGGAAACTGTTTTCTCATGTCCAGGTTTTTGCTATACAGGAAGGTGGGTTTACAGGCTATACATAAATTGGTCACTTGCCCATAATCTTTTCGTACAGGAAACCAGATTTCAGATTAGTTTATTTGATGAGAGAGAAACTAGAGCACAAAACATGATAAATGTTTCATTCAGTCTCTATGAGTAATTAAAGGAGCTGGTCTCCATCTAGAGATATGTTTGATTCAGAGTTCTAGTAATTCAGAGACTAAGCTCTTAAGTTTTTCTCTCCTTTGTCATTACTGTAATTATGTGAGTAGAGTTTTTATATACTTTCTTTTGTTATATCTTTCCAGAAGCCCTTCAGAATTGCTTTCTCACTGGTAGATACTTTTCCAACACCTGTATTTTTCATGTTGTAGTTGAGCACTTTAACAAATTGAACATTCCACGTGTCATGTAGAACTCTCATTAATAGTCTGTGCCTCTTGCCCACCACTGGTCACACATACATTCATCACAATAACTGGAATGTGACCAGTGAACTCGGGAGATGGCCACTGACCTAACATGCTCTCAGGGTAGGAACACTGCTCTGAACAAGTGGCCATGAGCAGTGGGACTCAGGGCTGAGATGGCATACGCTAAAGGCTAGAGAATAACTGCACAGTGGGACCACACCCCCTTCCTTTTCATCCTCAACTACACATTACCTTGGTCAACAGGTAACGGGGTAGATAATGTAACGGGGAGATTGTCATAGGTTACTTAATTTCTTCAAATAAACTTTGCCCTAGAATGTATGCCAGTAGTAGACTGAATTGAGTCATTATGTGGGAGAGACAATGTGAGAACAGAGTTGCAAAGACTTGGATGTATTCCTTATGCAGCTGGGTTATGTCGATGGGGGAAGAAATGGGATGGTTTTCACAGATACGGAGAACGCTGTCCTGGACTTCAGTGAGCCAGATTCTCAGCCCTGACCTGCCAGTGAATGACCTCTGGTAAGTTGCCTTGTCTCTCAAAGTCTGAACTGTTTTATCAACTTACTGTTTTTTTTGATGAGGTGGTATGTACCTCCTAACTGGTTCTCAGTCGTCCATTTTTTTTACGGGGTTAGTTCACATGATCTTTACCTATAATATTCTCTGACTCCATGTATTATGAATATTGTTTGGTTATTGTTTGGTCTGTTATACATTTAGTGCAAAGCACTGTACTAGATCCTGAGTTATACTCTACTCTCAAAAGGATTTACAACTACTACCAAAGCTAGACAAACAATGACAATGTGGTATAGTAAGTCCATGATAGTGGGCAGTATAAGCTACTATAGTGGCACAAAGGAAGCCAAGCAAAGACCTATTAAAGGTCACCAGAGGTTTCACAAAGAACTCCATTGCCAGAGTATGGCAATGGGTGTGGGTGGCTAAACTGATGTGGAAAAGGTGGGCATGAGTTGAAGTCACAACTATAGGGCCAACAGTGACAGCCTTTACCAAAGCATGTTCCTCAAAAGTTAATTAGGTGTGAGGGGGGAGGGTATACCTCAAGTGGTAGAGCACATGCTTAGCATGCATGAGGTCCTGAGTTCAATCCCTAGTACCTCCATTAAAAAATAACTAATAATAATAGTAAATAAATATACCTAGTGACCACCCCCTGCTGAAAAAAGTTATTAGATATGGTACCTAAAGGGGCTAAAAAATGTGAAGGCTGAGTACTTCTTATGGCTGAGAAGGTGAATTCTAGCTGGGATCTGTCAGCCTTTCTAAAAAGCCTTGCCATGATACCATCTCTATGGTAAGGACTGTGACCACAGTGAGAAAGGGGTCAGGGATGGGGGTTGCCAGTCTTGGCTCTACTACAATCCCACCCACCTGTCACTCTTTTGGCACACATTCTGTAGATGACTTTATCTCTTGGTCAGGATCCTTGGGTTGCAAGCAAGGGAAGCTAGCTCTGAATAACCTTATCAAAAAGAGTCAGGTGGCTCCTAGAATGGAAGGAAGGGCTAAAAGACAGCCTTGTCAGACCTGGGTCAGCTCCAGCGGCTTGGGGCAGGAATTCCTGGGGAATTCTTCAAGTCATATGCTTAGGGATGATGACTCAATC